TTACAAGGCACCCCATGGAGAACCAGCTGAAAACCCAGAGCCCATCTGCCTCCAGCTCTAAGGGGGTAATTATTGCCTCAACTAAGCAAGGAGGAGAGCACGGCAGGGTGCTAACTATGGCAGGTGACTGATGGCTGTGCCTTACACTCACCCAAGTCACCAGCTCTCCTAATGGCAGCCAGGGTCATGATAAAATGACAAATAGGCCATTAATAGCCAGAACAACAACAAAAAACTCCAATCAAACAAAAACAAAAAAAACCCATCCCAATCCTACACCAAAAACAAAAAACAAAACCATAAGTGGCCATGAATTTGAAAGAGCAATGAGGGGTATATGGTGGCATTATAGAGAGGAAAGGGAAGGAGTAAATGATGACATTATAATCTCAAGAAATAGAGAAGATATGAGGAATTCAAATAAAAGCAGCCCACTCCCCCCGAAAAGGATGAAAAAAAAATGAATAGAAGCCTAAATTCTGTCACCGTGGTCTCTACCACTTCTTGTGGGCGCGTTAGAAACAAGGAAGACGACCTGGGTGGCGGAATGGTGATGCTATGCCAAATTCCTGCTCCAAGGGAAACAAAACACTGGTGTGAGCAGAAACCAGGTGCACGGAAGCAGGTGTTTTATTCCCACCACCAATATTAGCTGTACTTCTTGTGCGTTATTTACATAAGGCTAAGAGTTCGCAATATTCTATTGGCACTATATAAAATAGTGCCTGGCGTCAGCAGTCTCCAACTGCAGTCAGTACCTAGGACAGGATAGGGACTGTTCCAAAGGGTCTACTCTAGGGCTAGAAAGATGCCCACGCATGAAAACACTCAAGTGCCGGTAAAATGCAAAGCGCATGCTCGTCTTCAGAAACTCTGCCCACAAGCAGCCATTCAGAGAAAAGGCTGTTTGGGGACACACCCCAAGTGATTGGCCAAAGGTCACACAGAATCCCTTCTCTCCAAAATGAGATAGGCACAATCTACAAATTAGCATATTCTCATCCGGTCATTAAATGCTCCTTTGCCACAGCTCTCCTGGGAGGAAAAAAAGGGGGGCAGTGGATTTGAGGAGGGAAGAGAGACACTAGGAAAAGGGGAGCAGGTCACTTTGGAAATGGTGTCAGACTTTTCATTTCACTGATCAACAAAATTGGTAGAAAAATGTGGTGAGGGCATAGAGGAAACAGTAACAGAGTCCCCTTCACTATGAAATTTTTATATAAATGATAGGAATGCCAGTCTATCAAAATAACAGATAATCTTTCATATTAAGTAACTTTAGCTGGATATAGATAGACCTGTTATCCTCTAAATTTATTTGATTTTAAAACCTACATATTTTAGAACAGATATTTGCAATTAATGCTTTTGATAATACCTCATTTGGGACAAAGAAAACGTAATTTTCAAATCAAGTCTCAGAAAGGACCTTTGAGTAATGCCTTCCTGTGTATTTTCAGGTTCAAATTTGAGGATTTCTTTAACTCCCAGCACTGAATGTAAGAACTCATAGCAAACACACACTGATGTTGAGAGGTTCCTCTATGGCTGCAAGCTGGTGACCGACCACTGCAAGTGTTCCTGCGTCACTCTGGCACACAACGGCATTTTTAAACTTGTGTAACATTTGTGCTTTGTTGCCTGGTGTAACCGCTGTGTCTAGGCAGTGACAAGAATTCTGGACTAGGCGGAATTCTGGCCTCAGCATCTCAGTGTCTGGGTTAAAAAAAAAAAATCAGCCATTCCCCATGCCGGCTGGACACATTTTACATTCTCTACCCCACTGCCTGCAGCTTTACTGTTCCCTACAGAACTGAACCCATTTATCTTCCACCCGCCTGCTGACCCCCTAAAGCATCATTAATGTGCCCCCAAAGACCTTGCTGCTGTCAATTTCAGTTGGTGCAACATTTAAAAGCCTTTGTACAGCTCATCAGGGCTGTGCAGGAAAGGGACAGAAGGCGAGGGAAGGCATTAGACCCAAACCTTGGGGATTTGCCAGCGCGGGAAGCTGGGAGAGATGAGGAAAGGACTAGAAGGACTCCTGTCTGGAGATGAGGTGCGAGGCTAAGGATGGAAAGCCTGGTGTGTGGACACCCATAATTACGCGTGTCTGCCACTCAATTCTCAGCTGGTTAATGGCAGACGGATCAATATCTCCTTTAGATTTTCATGTCTAACATTATGGTCCTCATGAGAGACAGGTCTTCGGAGAAGAAGGGATGATTCCGGAAATGGGTCTGGGAGAGACAGGCTCGTAACCAATATGGACAGTTTCATTGGTTCACCTTTAAGTTTTGTAAAATAGGTTTGTTCACTTTTCTGTTGTTGTGACTACTTGTCTTCTGACACACACTCACCTTGAAGTCAGTCACAGGGAGCGCTAGTGTGTATAAAGGCTATTAGCAGGAATAAACTTGGAGTTCAGTTTACACACGCTCATGGGAGTGAGCTCTGAACTCTACAGTGGTGTTCAAGCAAACAACCATGAACCCAATAGCTTTACGGTCATCTTCATCTTAGGAGGGTATTACGTAGCCACGAGTGGAGTCTCCTTTGGAACTAGATTTGTTCATTCAAACGGAAGGAAATGCATTTCAGAAGGTGACGCTGTGATATCTTTGCCTTAGAAAGAAGGAGAGGACTGGAGACATCACAGAGAACAACTTTTAAATGGTAGACAGCTACATTCCTAAAATATAACTTAGGTACAAAGTGGGATCATTTTGTGAATGAATGCCACAAGGCCAAAGCTGCATTCATCAAGACGCTTGGGAGGTGCGATTTCAGTTTTAAGTATGGTGGAAAGCTTCACGCTGATAAGTTAGAGGATTGGTTATAGTACCCAGGTCACTCACCCTTCCCACGAATGCTCTTTTAGTAAGAATGAAAACTTTGTGCTTTAGGAAACATCCTTTATCATCATAAGATAGTCAGTGCTTTCAATTTCACCCAAATTCCTAATATTTCCTTAGAAAAGACCCATGTCTTTTTAAGATGCATGCTTCAGTACCACGGGGGCTGGCCACTGGAACCAGCATCATGAGAGGAGATGTGAGGAGATCTGTGTCCACAAAGAATGCTTGTGACTTAAAAGAAAACAACAACAACAACAAAATCTAAGCAACCAAACAACCAAAAATCCTTCTTCATTATGTCCTGAAGAGACAGCCGTAGTTCATGACATTGAGAACCATCAGAAATTAAAACTCTTTGTAAGCCAACCTCTGCACTTTGGTGAGCAGTCTCCCAGAACCTTGCAGTGACTCCATCCATTGTACAAATATCCCGAATCCAAAATGCCATAAAATGTGCAAAATTTTTTTTTGGTTTTTATGAGACAGGGTTTCTCTGTATTGTTTTGGAGGCTGTCGGTCCAGTCCGGCCTCGAACTCACAGATATCTGCCTGCCTCTGCCTCCCGATTGCTGCGATTAAAGGCGTGCGCCACCACTGCCCACCCATGTGCAAATTTTTTAATACTGACACAAGACCATCAGCCACCATAGAACATAGATGCATGCCTAAATTCATGTAACAGATTACATCTAAAAGATAGGCATATTCAACAAAAAATATCTGGGCTATGTATGTGAAGTATGTATGAAACAGTGATGAATTCTGTGCTCAGATTTTGCTCCTATCCTCAATCTCTCTGTCTCTGTCTCTCTGTCTCTGTCTGTCTCTCTGTCTCTGTCTGTCTCTCTGTCTCTGTCTGTCTCTCTGTCTGTCTGTCTGTCTCTCTGTCTGTCTGTCTCTCTGTCTGTCTGTCTCTCTGTCTGTCTGTCTCTCTGTCTCTGTCTGTCTCTCTGTCTCTGTCTGTCTCTCTGTCTCTGTCTGTCTCTCTGTCTCTGTCTGTCTCTCTGTCTCTCTCTGTCTCTGTCTGTCTCTCTCTGTCTCTGTCTGTCTCTGTCTGTCTCTGTCTGTCTCTGTCTGTCCCTGTCTGTCCCTGTCTCTGTCTGTCTCTGTCTCTGTCTGTCTCTGTCTCTGTCTGTCTCTGTCTCTGTCTGTCTCTGTCTGTGTCTCTGTCTCTCTCTGTGTCTCTGTCTCTCTCTCTGTGTTTCTCTCTCTGTGTCTCTCTCTGTGTGTCTCTCTATGTCTCTCTCTCTATGTCTCTGTCCCTCTCTGTGTCTCTGTCCCTCTCTGTGTCTCTGTCCCTCTCTGTGTCTCTGTCCCTCTCTGTGTCTCTGTCCCTCTGTCTCTCTCTATCTCTCTGTCTCTGTCTGTCTCTCTCTGTGTCTCTGTCTCTGTCTGTCTCTCTGTCTCTCTCTGTGTCTCTGTCTCTCTCTGTCTCTCTGTCTCTGTCTGTCTCTGTGTCTCTTGTCTCTGTATCTGTCTCTCTCTGTGTCTCTGTCTCTCTCTCTCTCTCCCCCTCTCCCTCTGCAAATACTCTAAAATTCTGAGAACTCAAACAGCAACCATTTCTGCTAAGGAACCCTCAACCAGTATTCATTGTCCCATTTTATTGCTGCAACAACTAAGATTTACCAAGCTTAAGCAACTTAACCGAGATCACACAGTGTCTAAATGGTAGGTCTGGATTCCAGCCCACCCTGGGAATCAGGTCTGGCTGGTATTAAGCCCATGTTCTTACCCACTATACTACATGGCCAGGCCTGCAGCACAGTCCTCCTTGGCCTTGATTTCATTTGTTAGAAGTTATTTTATTTGGGGGTATTTCATAATCAAGAGTACATAGAGCTGTAGAGACTGCAAGCATAAAACCCAAATCAACATAATTTTTACATTTCATAAAAGAACACATTTCAAAGCTTTCAAAGCTATAGGAAGAAGTTGAATTTCACATCCCAAATGATAAGAAATTCAACCGGGCTGAACCAGAGGAAACTGCTGTATTGGTAGCTTACAACAGCCAGAGAGACAGAGCAACAGCGCATGTGTATAGTGGGTGGAGAAGCCTGATCGTAGCTCTGAGGACTCAGCCACAGCCCACCTGCAGGCCACGTCTTCCCGCCATGGTGACCCACACTGTTACCTCACCTGAGCAGAAGCTGTTACTGCTGATGGTCCTTGCTGAGCGCCCAGAGCTGCTGAGGTTGAACTCTCGGCTTTCCTCCTCGGAAAAGGGCGACTCGGAGGCTGGGGAAACCTTGCTATGCTGCTGCGGCTGCTGAGGTAGATGGGGCCGCAGAATCAAGCGTGGAATCCGGCTCCTGGAAACCTCCTTCTCGTGGTGCTGCACCCTCTGCTCCTTCTCCAGATTGGAGAGCCAAAAGAAAACAGTCATTTTTCTCCCTGCTCCTGCAAGGCTCCGTTTCTGAGAGATCCTATTTCTGGGCACTGAACCCTACCAGGACAGTCAAGCAGTCTGTACGCCCCAGGTGCTGAGCTGCTGAGCTCCCCAAGTCTTGTTCTTTGATCCTATAAATAGTACAAGTGCAAGTCTACACACACACACACACACACACACACACACACACACACACACACACACAGAAGCCACCCATCTGCATAACTGCCACCCCACACCTCCAAGCCTTAAGTGTCTCGCCTTCTCATCCTTTCTTTTTCTCTATCACATTTGAGCCTGAGGATCTCACAGTGCTTTTTTGTGTCTTTCTTAAATTCTTGTGGTATTCCCGAATTAGCTGACAATTTCACTTGTGGTTTTCTGTCTCCTCCCAAACTAGATAATGGATCATATGCACTTATCTTTCACATGCCTCCTCTTCCGGACAGGGTCTTAATTATTCATTAATATCCTGGCACACAAGGCTTGCTGCCAACAGAAAAGCAAACACATCCAATACCCAGGAAAAAATGGCTCCACCTTCTACATCACATCTAGCTTTTGTTTTTCCAAAAGGACAACCACGAGAAGAAAATCCTCCCTATTGAAAAATGCATTTCTAAAACCTCGCCATGCCTTGGCTTAAAAAAAAGAGTAAGAAGTATATTTTGACAATCTTTTCACTTTAAAAGTCCCATTTATTAATAGCCAAGATGGCCCATTAGGTGAAGGCACTTAGCCAAGCCCGCCCACCTGAGTCTGACTGCTGGGATCCACCTGGTAGAAGAGGACTCGTGCAAGCTTTTACTCCGACTTCCGCACGTGCTGTGGGACCCACACTACCTCCCCACACCAATAAATATGAGTTAATAAAAATGAAGTTCTGTCTCCATCATTAACTCACTTAATGGGTCTTTACACCCCAACCTTCCTCACAGGCACATACTCAAGTTCATCTGAACAAATAGGGAAACTGAGGCTGAAAGAGGCGAAGACTGCACATCATGTGGAAGACAGAAATTCAGACCACTGCTTTCAGGGTCACCATTATTCCCTCTTGTTAAACTGGATTCCCCGGGAAGAGCTTTAAAAAAAAATTCCAGAGCTTTTTCCAACCTCTGTTAACTGAAAGAGGGCTTTGGCTTAAGTGGCGAACGCCACACTTCCCAACATGATCTCCTGCTTGTTTCCCAAGCTTACCAGGAAGGGTCAAAGCCAAATCGAACACCCCTGAGAGGCTCCCCAGGGAAAACCCCCTGCAGCCCGGAACCTGGCTCAGGCATCTATGCCATCCTGGGACTGCAAGCCACACCCAGACTCCGGATCCGTCCAGCCCATCAGTCACCCAGCAGGTATCCCCACGCCAGGCACACTGCAGACTCTTGAGCTGGGTCACTGTCACGCTGCAGTCTTTATTTCTCAGTCACGAGTTCGCTAAATTCCTTTTGCATATCACACACACACACACACACACACACAGGCAAACACATGACATCCACTAAAAGCTTCACCCCAAGCTCGGGGAGCCAGGATTAACCCTCTAAAGTCAGTCTTTTAAATCCTCGTAGTAATCCCCCAAATCTCTTCCTGTAGTGTCACCTCCCCATCTGCGACACCCCATCACCGTCGGATGACCCTCGGCTTCCCTGCAGTCCCCAGCGCCTAGCCCCCACCCCCCTCCCCAAGCTGCCCCATCCCTTGGACCCTGAGCACCAGGGTCCATGTCTCACCTGGCTCTCTACTAGGTAGGGTGCACTGCAGCATCCTCCGACCCTGTCACGGTGCCCACCCGCACACAGGGTCCCCTTACCTTGCTCTCTCGGAGGGGCCCCATCTCGCCTCTGCCTGCCGGCTCTCCGCGCCGTCGCTGCCGCCGCCGCCGCCTTCCAGGAGGAGGCACCTGTGAGCGCGGAGCAGAGGAGGAGACTGTGCTGAGCCCGGGGGGCTGAGTGCGGTGACAGCAGCGGGTCCGCCGCGTCCCCGCCGGCGGTGGCGCTCCGCTCGGAGGGCGCGCCCGCCGCCCCGCCCCGCTCCGCCCCGCAGGACACGTGGTGCCGCCGCTCGCGGCCACTCGGGTGGAGTCCTTCCCGGTCACCGCCTTCACCTGCGGCCGGGAACAGCTGCCTGGCATCTCCCGGTCGCCCGCCACGTCCCGCGCTCAGCGCCCCTCCCTTCCGAGCCTAGCCCGACCCACTGCTTGCAGGCTGAGGCTTATTCGCAGCAAGGGCAACCCAGATGTGTACCCCATCTTCTCTTGCACCTGGCCCCGGGATTGACAGGGGGGTGCGTGTGGGATGGAGAAGGTGGGAAAAGCTGCCCACGTCAGATGGCCAAGATGGAGAAAGAGGGAAAGTCACCCTCCCCAGTCGCTGTCCCTCCGTGACCTCTAGGTCTTAAGTCAACGTAAAGATTCTCTACCATGGCCTCGCCCCAGAGAGATGGGGCGGGTCCCCCCTGGTCCCTATATATACCCAGGCAGGCCTGCTGCAGGATTGACACAGCATCTGGGTTGCAGGACTTTGTTCCAAGGCTGCGGTTCTCCTTGGAGGGATTTGCGTCAGAAGGGCTTTTAAGGCGCCAGGAAAACACAGCACCCACACACAGGCTTTTTAACCCAGCACAGGACCCCATCTCCAGCTCTACAACTTCTCCCTGGCTACACCATGAAGACCCTGATATAGACTGTAGAGGGGACAGGACACCTGTGCTCAGGGAACCAAGGTGAAGCCAGCACACCAGACAGACCCTCGAAGCAGGGACCCTTCTCCAAGTTCGTCTTGATTGACACGAGGGATAATAATATCCACTAGAAGGCAGCTGGGAGGGGTACGGAAGGAAAACAAAACGGCTATATCCAACTGACAAAGCAAACTCTTTTAGCGGATGGCTAGAGCAGGTTCAGGTGACCCAATATCTGCAGGTGTCTTTTATGTGACAGGCAGGGTGGAAATAAAAGCATTTGTGGTGCAGCCAAATACATTTAAGAAGCTCAAAAAGTCTCCGAGGGCAGAAGAACTGATATCCTTGCTATATGTCATACCTGGTGGCAGACTTCAGCTTGAAAAATGTCTTACACACCCTTTATTCAAGGTAGAGAATGTTCCAGGTAGCAATATGGGTGGTGAACAATTTCTGCACCCCAGGGTCCTGTGTGCAAGGTGTGTGACTGTTGGTAATGTAGTACAACTTCCACCATCTCATCTGCATTCCTTCGGGTACCAACTCTGAAACCCAGCAACGCACCCGAGTCACAGAGACCCTGAAGTTGGAGGATTAGTGGAATCAATTTCTTGGCTTCTTAAGACCCCCAAGAGATTGCATTCCACAAATCCTTATCCCCTAGGATCTACTTAACTGAGACATAATCTTGGGATTCTCTGGGGGGGGGGAGAAGAGGTGATTAATTCATCCTTTCTCTACCCATTAAGTGTCTTAACCAGGGACCTCACCAAGGTACAACCCAAGAGGATTCATACAATTCATTGTATCTAGACTTACAGGCCAGGGTTTGTAAATGGTGAGATAGGAACGAACTATGGTCGCCAAGAGATGCTTCTGCACTCCCTGCTGAGAACCGAAAATTGGTTGCAGGGACCTAACGGCAGACACTGTCCACAGAGTTATTCAAATCGGAATCTCAGAGGCAGCTCTGACATCCTCAGCCCCCTCCATTGCTTCCCTCCTCTTCTACCGTGACCAGTATCACTATTGATAGTGATGGAAACTTCACTTCTGCCTATCCTGGTAACAGGACATGAATATGACCGTGCTCGTCCACCATTCACCCTCATTATCTTTCTTCTTTTGTGGTCTTAACTGCTCTGAGTTATTTCCACAGGGGGCCAGCTGAAGTTCTTCTGTGTCCTGTCTCTTATCCATATTCTTTTCTAACCAATTACTTCATTCTCTTTGTATTCCCAAAGCTTTTATGGGAAGCACGCTGCTCACAGCCCTCCTTGAGTTTACTTGAATATTTGTCTGTTTATTTTGGTGTTGTTTATTTGTTTATTTATTTTGGTAGTGCTGGAGACTAAATGGGGGGGGCCTTGTGCACTCTGCCAAGAAAGTCTTTGACCACTGAGCTAATCCTTGACATCTGTTATGCCAGGCTAAAGTCAAATCAGACTTCTCCATTAAGCTCACTAAGGACTCACCGTTTTCCAGCAGGTAATAATTAGACCGCCTCCCTCACTCCCCATGATGGCACCAGGGTCTTTTTTTTTTTTTCAAGCTCTGGCTGTTTGTGCTTGCCTCTCTTTTTACAGATGCTCCCTGCCCTCGCAGATCCCCTCAGCCTGCTGCTCTCTCCACAAGCAAATGGTTGTTCCAACTGAAGTCCTCCCGTTCTCTGGAGGGTTCATGGCCATTCCCTCCAGACCTCGGCACACTGCTGGTTTCCCCTGTTTACATCTCTAACACTCTAACCACCCAGCCTCCTCCATTCTGAAAGAGAGTAAGTTTAATTTTAGGCGGCTTCTGCCAGGAAGAAGAACCTCCCCGGTCCCTCCAGGCCACCTGTGCTTACCCTAGGAGAGCTGTTCCGATTTTCAGTACTCCCTACTCACTCGTCTTCATCAAAGAGAGTAGGCAGTGCCTGGCACAAATCCGCCCATACAGTAGCATCAGTGCATAACTACCAAGTGAATGGATGCCGAAGTGAATGGATTCCACAACCCCTTATAAGGCCCACTGGTACAGGGTGAAGAACATGGATCCAACTTGCGTGTGGCAGATTACTTGGATAAAGCTGCCTCCAGTGTGTCTGCATTTAATGATGGGATGCGTGCCTAAAAAATCCAACATGTGTTCAGTGAAAACATTTACTGCAGAAGTGCAGGCACCGAGAGGCTATGCAGTAGCCTTGCTGTCACCATAGCAACCTCACCGAGGGAAAGGCTGGTTTACTCTTCAGACGCCTCTTGGCTCTGTACTTTTGAGAACCAAGCCTGTTTTTCTGCTGTGCTAAAAGGCAAGTTTCACAGATAATCATATCTACATTGCCTTTAATTTCATTCAAGTGTTTCTCATGTCATTAGGGGAAAGTTAACATTTAGACTATAGCATCAGAGAGACATAATCTAATATTGTTTAAGGCATTCATCTCTCATCTGCCTATTATTATTCACCATTTTCATTTTATATCTAAGTACTTATGGCCTTGTTTTATAATCTTATTGCATTTTCTTGAAGAAAAGAATGTTTCTTAGGTATTTAGAAAACATCAATTGCTTGGTATTTTCTAAAGGCTTTAGCCCTTAGAGGTTTTAAATCGTATACCTGCCCAGACCTGGCAAGAAATATAGGAGATCAGGTGTTATGGATTGGTATAAAAGCAAAGTCTGTATACTTAACTTCCCAGATCTAGGAATTCTTCACGTGAAATTTGTGATTAATCCATCTACATTTTTAATATGCAGAGCACTTTACATTTTCAGAGCCCTCTCACATAATACCACACGGGTCTCACAAAATCCTTGTGACACGTAAGTGGCCAACTGCTGAAGTCATCTGGGGGTTAAAGGACAGGTTTTTACTGACAGAGATCCCCCCACACCTCCCCCAGACTGCAAACTTCATAGAAAAAAAAAACCAATACAGTCGCACTGCCAAAACAGAACCGTTTGCACCGTGCAATCTGACACCTCACACAGTCCTAGGCATCCCTTTCCCTCACATCTCACCTGCGTGCTGGGGCTGCGCTGCTGTGCTCCGTCAGGGTTGACAAAGCACTCTGCTCCTAATCCTATCAGCTGTGCGAGCAAGCGCTGCTGCTGTCTTTCAGTGACCCGATGTTGGGCGATCTGCACAGCAACAAGGAGCCGCTGACGTGTTTTACAACACGTCATGAAGAAAAGAAACTGCATTCTGGGGCATCCTGGGATTTTTTTTTTGTGGTGGGGTGGAGACCCATATTTTTCTTACAGGGGAAAGAGAGCTGCCCGTTTTCCTGTAAGAGCCTGTGTGAGTGAACCCACCCCCCTCTTATTGTATGTGTGTTATTGTTAGGCTGTGGCTAAGGTGTTTAGACGCTGTAGACTGTAATGGCTAGGATTATGCAAGATCACTCCCCTGAGGAGGGGGGCCCAGAGAGTACTTGGGGCAGAGAGGGGAGTGGGTAACCGAAGGCAGTGTGGCATGGACATTCATTGGGTTTGGCGTATGCCAATTATCTGGGCTCTGCAAATGAGTTTTCAGTTAGAGACGCTTTTAAGTGAAGAACAGAAAATAAATGGAAGCCCAGGTGAAGAGGCCGGGCAGAGGTTTGGGCCTGGGGACTCTGAGGCATGGAGGATGCATTTTTCTGCCTGTCTAATGGGGGATCGGATGTAAGTTAGTGCCTTAAACCATGCTATGTGGCGTCTGTGGCCTTTGGTCCGTTGCTGAGAGCAGGGTAAGAAAGTAGCCAAAACATAGGAACGGTGACAGCATCCAACTAAGTGGGAACACAGCGTGGGGTCGAGCAGGTGTTCACTGATTGAGAAAGTGAATTTGAAATGGTTGAAAACTCAGGTACCCAGGACGGCTGGGTATAGAGCATCCAGGTGGGAAAGGCCGGGTCTGGACATTTCCCCGATGGACTGCCTCGGATGACTAGACAGTCCGTGGACCTCAAAGATTCCCTGAAAGGGCACAGGAAATCATCTGTGAGGTAGGCACCGGAAGGCCTAAAGCCAGATGTTGAATGCTGGAGGTCCCAAGAGTCTGGAGGAACGAGGAGGCAGTGGCAGAGGCAGACCCGGGGGCTTCCAAGACAGGTGAGGGGAAGATGCCAAGACACCTCCGTCAGGTACTCATCCAGGGGCCCTGAGGATTGGTTCTGCACCTGTATCAGTCTAGGCTTAGAAAAGGCATTTCTAACGTCGTCTCAGGGAGCAGATCTGCAGCTAGATCTGAGTTCCCTTAAGAATTTGTTTTCCGTGATGTAATGTATGTCTATGACTTTGTGCTTTCTCCACCATCAACTTTCTAGTAAACACGCTTTTAAAAATAATGTTGCTCCCCCCTCCCCAACCCCCGCTGCTAGGAGATGCCGGCGGGGTGGGGGGGGGCTGGTTTTGAAATTTCTACTCAAAAGACAGAGCCTTGTGGTTGCAAAAGCGAGCAGAGCTCCCCTAGCGGCCGACGGCTAGCACAACGGTCGCAGGAGCCCGCGGAGCTGCTCGCAGGCCCGAGGGACCTGGAAGGAGGTGGGGGACTTGGGGTTCGGAAGACGACACACAGCCAAGTACATCACTGCGGTGTCAGAGCTGAGGGCGACCTTGCTGGCTGCTGTATTCCCAAAACCGGCTGTGCCATTGTTAGCAACCGTTTTCCTTCATCCCTGGCATAACAGACAGCTCGGCTGTAACCCCCCTCTCCTCTCCAGGCTATGGCAGGAATACTTGTGAGAAACAAAACCTAGAAATTGGGAATCTGTCCTACCTTGTCCCATCTCTCCACGTTGTCTCCGTTAGCCACTTCTAGAACGCTGTGTAATGAAATAAAAAAAAATTGCCTTTGAAAGGAGATAACTGGCATATCGGTGTGACAGGTCCTGAGATGACATCATCCAAGAAAACTGGCAAATAAAATACTAAAACTGTTCGCTATTTCATCGGCCTATTATCTGTGACCCCGTGGTTGTGCTGTTAGCTTTGGCTTTCTTCTGTTTTTTCAGGCTTATTTACATCAAAACAGCAGCAAAACGAGAGTAAAATCCTAAGTAACCTCTGGCATGGGGGGGGGAGGGGCTCTGTTGATGCCATTATACCTGGCTGTTTTGGTGGCTACCATGAGCTGGAATACTAGTTTTCCCAAGCAGCTGCCCCCCCTCCTCGTGTCCTCTGATTGGGCAGTGATCAGGGATGAAGTTCTCTGGTCTCCTTCCCCCTGCAGACAAACAGCTATGGTTACTGCTAGAAACTCCATCATCATGGCTTCCTAACCCCGTTCCAGGTGGTGATGGCAGAAGATGAGCTTTTAAAAATGAGTGGCCTCGAGGAGAATTAGTAAAACTGAGACTGGAGAGATGACCTTGAATTAGGGGCAGGGAGAAAAACACCCGTGTCTGTTTTTCTATTAAGCAGCCCGGCTACTGACTGGTCTCTCAGTGTGATGGCTCATTTAGGAGACAGCAGGAGAGGGGAGTGAGTTTCCTAGTCTGCATAGAGGTTTGTGATAAGCAGTAAATGGGAGATACAGGGCCTGAATCTCATAGCCTTGTTCTCACTGTGACCCTCATAGGAATTGTTTAAGGAGGGCCCCCCACCCCCACCCCGACCCAGATTCAGCATGGTGTAAGTGCAGGTTAGTTGAAAAGGAAGACTCGGTCCCACCAGTTAATGTCTTTGAACAAGCTGAGTTCCCTCAACTTCATTGTCACACCTATAAAGTAGACTTAATAATAGTAATTAGCTCGTGTCGCCGTTAGAAGGATTAGACAAGTCGAGGGTTTAAGCCCGGTAGATGGTTACGGCTTCCTAGCCATCCTCTCTCTCTCCCTTGGATCAGGCCGCTCGAACTGCCATTGCTGCCTCCAGCTTGCCTGAGCTCATCTTAAAGATCTTCATGTGTATCGGAGGGGTTAGCCTTTCCCTACATTGGCTGCCACACATCAAGAATGAAATGGAATTCCACATTAGAAGAGAGAGGCTGAGAAACCTGTGCTGCCAAAGGCTGATTAGAAAGGGTTAAATAGGAGGGATGATGAAAGACCACACACCGGTCATCCATCCACCCTGTCAATCATCCGAGGGTATTGATGGTCCTACGCTGAGCGAGTCTCTCCCGCTCTTTAGGGTCTAACACAAGTGTGGGAATAGCCATGACACACCTACCTTTCAGGATGCTGGAACTGTGTCAGACAGATGCCAAAGGGGCTTGGCAGAATTTAAGTTGGGCTGGATCTGAGATGAGCAGGCGCAGATTTTGAGATGACTTTCGAAGAAGAAACAGGCTCTATGATGAGTCTGGCTTCTTGAGGGTCCCCTTCATTAGTTCTTCCTCTGGTCCTCCTGTCTACCTTCTGTCCTCCTGACTCCTCCCATCCCCTCTCACCCTCCTTCCTCTCTCCTTCTGCCCATCTAACTCTTTCTGTGTCTTCTCCTTTGGCTCCTTTCTTGTTTCTTCCTACTTTGCAAAAACACTTGCTACTCAAGTGGACTAATGCGGACAGCATCTGTGGGTTTCCCTTGCATCGTTCCTTCTGCCCGTAAACTTTTGGAAGAAAGGGATTTGTCTTAGTCTTGATTGACTACAAAGAGTAGCTTCTCAATCACTTTCTGCGTATTAATAGAATTTGAAAATTTTAAGAGGACCGTGTTATATTGCCATCTATTGGCCCACTAGTGAATTTTTCCTTCCACATCTAGGTTTGCAAAGAACTCTTCAAAGCATAGTCAAACTTTCTCCGCGTTATTTGAAAGCTTTCCAAAACTCTCAAAATGTAAGGCTGTATAATTGTATGTCAGTGAGTGAAATCACCACGTCATGGGTGTGAACCATTAAGGGGTGCTTTTTCTCATTAGGCTGTATCAGACAAGTTAGCACTCCTAAATCTTTGTATCCTTATTTGTAAAATGCATGTATGGTCTACTTCATATGTTTTTTTTTCAAATATTTCATTCTCTAACACCCATAGAAAACTTATACAGGTGGGTAGTTCAAATGAGGGCTTATTTTTCTTCCTTTTTCCCCCTTTCCCAATTAATAATAACCTTGGGGGGAATAAACTCTTATGATTCAATTTTAACTAATTAATGAGCTAAATCCTTCTGACACAATAATGGCAAACGATCTTCATATAGTCCCTATTTTGCCTAGTCTCATGTGTCTATTTGTAAAAAATTCGTAGGCCTGATATTTTTAAGTTGATGTTTTTAAAGCTGTTTTGCTTCCATGGAAAGGTTAAGTAGGGAGTACAGAGAGTAACCATCAATCCTCCCACTAACCTCAGTCTTTTACTTTCAAATTTTGGATGCAGTTCAATCACTACTTGCTTGCTTGGTTAGATATAATCATACTCTACTTTTGAAGGTGAAAATAAGAGCAAGTTCGATGGGTCTGCCTGACCCCAATCTCCTCATCTCTCTCAAGGTCTTCTCTATCTCTAATATGTAGTCAACACCCATCTTCCAGAATCTTCTCAAATAGATTTAATGAAGCCACCTCTACAATAACCGGAAGCTGCATAGAAGGGACCCCATGGCCCTACTAATGAATAAATACTACTTACTGTTTGTTCTCGCTGTCTGACTGCTGGAGGGACTCGGTGATAATGTGGGCATCATTTTATGTTCGGAAGTCAGTGTTATTTCCTGGCCTATTTAAACCTTCCCCATACTTCAAACCCATCAGCCTACAACTGCTCCCTCATGCTGTGCAGATGCCCTTAGCCCTTGACTAGAAGACAAGACAGAAAGCACAAGAGAACTTTCCCTTTCCTCCTTCCAAACCCACACATTTGCCTGCCTCTACCCCTTCCCTCCCATTTCCCATCTTGATAGCTTTTGTTCCCCCATATAAGGAAAACTTCTGTTCCTGAAAATCCCTGTACGAGACATCCTTTCATGCCCCATAAAGGGAACTATCCAATCAGTCAGCCCTCCTAACTCTCCAGGATTTCATTTCCTTGTCTTTAAAGTAGAATAATTATACATGGGCTTCTATGAGCACCAGTGGAACTAATCCACATACAGAGAGGAGGAGAGTTCCCAGTGTGTTTGTTCTACTCAAGCACTTGGGTGTGGATTAGCTGTCATTCTCTTAGAAAACGACTTGGACGTACATTCCCACTGGATGTTTCATACCACGGTTTAAACATACTGAACTATTCTCGATGGAAGATGCCTCACTGATGAAGTCCTCTGTCTTCCGGAGTCACAGTTCCACTGGTTCACTCCTCTTCCCACATCAGCAAATGTCAGATGAAGGCTTAGCTGGACACATCAATCACCTGAGACCCTCCCTGCCCTACGTCCCTCTACTTCAGCACCAGCCATTTTTAGCTGGCAGCTTTTGCCCTAAGTCACAGATTGCCTCCCCGTGGTTACTTTAACAGCTAGTTCCAACTGCAGTCTTGACTTCTGATTAGCCTTTGGAATAAACCCTTGCCCATTTTTCAACTCAGGAACGTGCCCTTCTGATGATCTCCTACGTTGCGGCTTGCTTTTCGCCCATCCTTTTAAAGCCCCGAGTGGTCCTTTCATTTGTTCACCCTACCTCTCCTCCCTGAGTCATGCTGAACTTCTCTGTTGCTCCCGTAACTGTTTCTAGGTAGATCATCTGCCGATTCTATAAGTCCTCATTTCTATTATACTATTTCCCATTATCCACTTGGATATCTCAGATTGTATGTCTCCAAATGCCCGCCAATGCACTCTGTTCCTAGAGGAATTTATGACACTTTCTCTGGAGGTGATTCCTACTTCTGTATTCTCTAAGGTAATAAATGGTTTCATCGTGCAAAAACTGAGACCTTGGTGACCCTGTGCGGATCTTTTGTCTTCTACAAAGAATTTTCCTGTCTTTCTTACCTCCTCATTATCTTTTAATGACTCTATTTCTCTGCATCTCTTTCTTCCCCAACTGTCACCTGACCTCCCAGTCTTCTCCACAAGAGCATATTCTTAAATAGTGGCCCGGAATGTTGAAGGTACACATCTGACCATCCCCCAACTTACTGTGACTCCATCAGCCCCAACTGAATCCTTCCAACGCTTTCCCGTGTGTGGAGATAAAAAATATATGCATATTCCCTTCTGATCTAGCTCTGGCATCATACCTTGGGTGTTCGCCCCAGAGCTCTCTTTACAATCTCTGGTCTCCTTCTGCAGTTCTTGTCTATTCTCTTTCGCCCTTCAGATACACTCATCAGGGCCATCACGCTTGCTCAAGTCAGGGAGTTTATTCTTGTCATGACGGTAATGTAGGAGAGAATGGTTTCCTGGTTTAGAAATGTTGTCTACATTTTTGCATGGTTGTGTAGTACAATGGAAAACTAAAGCCACATGCAAGATATGATAATCAGAGGCTGGATTTGCTTTGGGGCTTGTCACATGACTTGAATGGAAATTCAAAAGAATTTTTAAGTAAGTGAGTGAAAATAATGATTTCCAACTTGGTATAACTTGAAAAGCTCCTGTCTCATAAAATACATATATTTTATCTTATGTATTATAAAATATTAATCTTAGCTTCATTTTTAATGGGTTCAATTCTCTCGAGTGAGAATTCAAAGAATATGCTTTGAAAAACTATTCCCCTGATTCCTTGTTATGGTTTTTCCTCCTCTTTTCTTCTGTCACTTATTAGATTTTTGGTATTAAAATAGAAAACAGTACTAGACATGGATTTATTAAAATAAAAACTCTAGCATTTGAAGTGTTAAATATTCAATAGTCTTCATTGCTATATTTTGTTATACAGGCTAAAGCAGTATTTTTCACACACACACTCACACAATTTAAGTTGTCCTATTTTGAAGCTTGGAAAAACAAAAAGTAGTTTCTAACGAAGGAAGCATTGGGAAATTTCACACAAGGAGTCTACTTTAAATATTCCTTGAAAGTAGCCAGTTTCAGGCTGGAGAGATGTCTCAGCCGTTAAAGGCTAGGCTCACAAACAAAAATATAAGAGAGTATCCAGTTTCCCAACGGTTGGGATCCTAAGTATAGATGTGTGAACTTGCTAAGTCAGCGTGCTTGTGGTCCCCATCGTAAACACCTGGAAGTTTTGCACCTAAATTACTAGTTTTATTTCTGCCTACCCTCATTTCAGTAGTCTTATCCACAAATCTCTAAGTTCAAAAATGACTCAATAGGAAGAGATAATGGAATGAAGGAAATGAGAAATAATTACAGCATCAGGGAACATGTAGGTTTTTGTTTTCTTGGGGTTTTTTTGTCTTTTAATAATAATGTAAAATTGTACACTTGAAAATATTGTCTTAAAACAAGAAGGCTCTTCATCTTTAAATAAAGATGAAGCTGATAGTAATTATTAAACATCTCTAAACCTTGTCTAGAAATTGGCTAACAGTTATACTTTTACTAAATACAAATCTTATACCTTGAATTCAAGACTTTTATAAATAAGTGACTTCTATTTATTCTAAAAATATAAATTGAGTTCTTCCTTGTTATTTACAAAGAACTCCAATAAGTGTTGGGAGAAAACTAATAAATTTGCCACGATAATGTAAATAAATATAACTTCTTAATCTTATTTGACTTTCTTTTCATGGGGTTCAAACAATGTTGGGATTCCTATGGGATTCATGGAAAATAGAGGGAACAGTGACTATCACTAACATTAAGCCATGCTGTGGGTGTCTGTTTTTTTGTGATAACTTTTGACTAAATATTAAAATATAATCATTATAAACTAGGATGAACACATGAGTCATTTACTATTAGTATAGAGACCCATTCAAAGCTAATAATTGTATTTTAAGATAAACCAAGAATGAATTAACATAAAAATGTGACAAAATAGTTATTAACCTGAAATGTTATATCTTTTCAAGTTAAAAATTGTGATCATATGAAAATTATGCATCATTTTTAAAAAGTCCTTAGCTGAATCTTTTGAATCCCCTTTCCACAGGGCATTGCTGTTTCTATAAATATTAAAACAAGGTGGGCATATGGTTCCCTAGAGTTAGGATGTACACCCCTTCCTTCACTAGTAGCTCTGGTAATATTCTTTGCTGCAGACCACTGAAGTTCTCCGTAATTAGGGAATTATGAAGGGGAATAGTTCACACAGGAGGTTTATACAGAAAAATGCCATTTTCTCTTAAATCAGTAAGATCGTGGTGATCTTTGAAAGCAAGACTTTCTGGTTGTGTTTTTGCCCAAAGGTGAATTGTCTGTTTTAACGAGCTAGGTAGTAAAAGGCCACCAGCCAGCAGATCTGTTGCTGCGGTCTCTGCAACGTGCTTAGTATGTAAGTCCTTGCTCAAGCATTCTATTCCTGGGCTCTGACTCCGTGCTTTCCACCGTGATCGTTGAGACTGGGAATGGCTGCAGAATACAAATCATATGATAAATATTTGGGAATTCGTCTTTGTGGTTTTTCGGCACCACCCGCCAAACTTCTTGCCTAGAGAGCTGTGTGTGTGTGTGTGAGAGAGAGAGGCTTTTCAATCTGAAGCCTTTGAGCAATGCTGTTTTCTTGCCAGCTGGGAGGCATCCATATGACTGAATTGCAGCAGCCCTTCAAAGAGATTTATAAACATTTGCAGTCCTTTGCATCTTTCTACGGCTTGTTTGTTTGTTGATAAAATTTTATGCTCAATAACTTGAAACACTGGGAAGCATCTTCTTTGTGTGGATTGCCAAATGTGATGCACAGAATTTTGAATAGTATTTGTATAAGTAGGGAGTCTTCTCCTAATTTTTTTTTTCTGAATCACAATTTTACCCTCCATTTAGTCTGATACTGCTGGAAGATGCTGTCTTCCTGTTTTTTCTTCATTCACTGAGTGTTCCCTGTAAGGTCTCTTCCTCGACTCTCTTTCAGGTACCATAGCACATTTCAAGAAGCGACATGGCATAGCCCATCACACTGTCCCTCAGTACTGTTTGGAGAGTAGGTCTAATATCTCAACGATGAGTGGAATGGGTGGGACAGATGCTTGCTTGGCATCCTCAAGCAGCTTTGCTTTTTCAGGCCAAAGTTCTAAACATGTCTACCATCTTTACCCCAAACAACGAAGGCAGGCTTGTCACCAGCCTAGCCTCTGCTCAGTACCAAGCTTGGTGTTAGTTTGCTTTCCATTGCTGTGGTAAGCATCTTGACCAAAAACACTTGGGGGAGGAAAGGACTTATTTCATCTTACTTTTAAATGAAAGCACTGAACCAGAAAATGCAGGAGAAATGGGCATGCTTGCCCTGTTTGTGATCGCATCTGTTTCTTTGGGATTGTCAAGCCCCGTTGCTACCTACAATGGCTAAGGTTTTCAACTCACAAGGGCAAAGTGAGACTATTTACTGTAAGTAAGTGAAATTAGTCTGGCAAAACCTGTCCACAGAACCAGTGTTTTAAATGTGTTTACGGTACTGAGGCTGTAGATAAGCGCTTGCCTAATATGTGCACGGTTTGTCATTAGATTCCTGGGCAGAGCAAAAAAAAAAAAGTAAAAAGAAAGAAAGGAAGGAAAATAGAGAGATAGATTGATAAATGATAGATAGAGGGACAGACACACAGTCAGACAGACAGATCAAAGGCTCACACAGAGGTAGTGATGGATGCCTGGAATCCAAGCTCTTGGAAAATGAAGACAGGAGGATCAGTGACTGAAGGTCATCTTCTGCATAGATTTCCAGGCCTGCCCAGGCTATATGAGGGCCTATGTCAGAAAAGCAAACAAACAACAAATGGAATCATGGACCATAGGTAGGCAATCTTTAAATAACTAAGACAAATGCCTGGAATTAAGATGGACTTTTCCTGTTCAAATGGGTCTGAAGCCTCCCTTTATTTAGAGATTAGAGTTAATGCTGGGGCTGGAGTGATAGATGCAGAGGGCGTGGGTTTGATTCCCAGCATCCACAAGGCAGCTTACAACTGTCCGTAACTCTAGTTACAGGGGACCCAACAACCCCCCACAGACACACACGCAGACAAAACACCAATGCACTTAAAAATTTAAAAACCATTAAGAATCAATGCCATCACGCAGTAAACCAGTTTACTACTCACTTGTATTCATCCCAATCTCAGACTGCATTTTTTGTTCTTTTGCGAAGGGAAATCACATTTTGTTGCCTAACGTTGAAGTCTTGGTCTTCCTGTCACTGGGACTGTAGGTTTATGTGGTTCCACATATAGGATGCTGTCTTTATTTATTATTATGTATATAGTGTTCTGCCTGCATGCCAGTCAGAAGAGGGCACCAGACCTCATTAGAGATGGTTGTAAGCTACTATGTGGTTGCTGGGAATTGAACTCAGGACCTCTGGAAGAGCAGTCAGTGCTCTTAACCTCTGAATCATCTCTCCAGTCCAGACACTGTCTTAAGAACGTGCTGGAGTTGTATAGCTCAGTGGTAGCTTACCTGATATACATAAAGCTTTAGGTTCAATTTATAGCATAGCCTTTTGCATTCACCCACCTGGTCTGTATTCAACTTAATAGTTTACCACTTCGTAAAGCAACCACCTTCTCAGCTTCAAGGTCACCAAAGCACTTTTGGGTATCCAATAAGTGGAAAAGAAATGTGTTCACTCAATAGTGATCATTAGATCTGACCATTAGATTCGCATCGTTCTCTCAATGGTGCGAGCGAGGTCATATCTACTTCCCAAATGTAGTTTCCCCCGAGTCTGTGACAGGTTCCTAGTTGAACATTAATAGAAAACCAGTAGTCGGGGAAATTTCTTGTTAGCCATGTAGGCAATAACAAACGACCTGACAATACGCTGCTTCTTGTTTGCATTAGTGCCTGTGGAACTTCCGTTGGACGCTACCAACTTCAGATTCTCCACGGGACCGAGGTAAGCTTTTATACTTTTTGTTGCCTTTCACCGCCTGTGTTTATATTTGCATTGTTGTTTTCCAGTGATGAGCCCAAAATGATATTGGCAAAAGCAGTTTTGTATTCACAATGGTCCAATTTGCATTTTCCCTTTTCCATGTAGAGAACAAAGACAAATTTGCCCATCACTACCCAACCACCAGATCCACAGGAGTTCTGCTTGCCCCGTTAACTGTTTCCATTCCAGGAGCCATTCTGACTGTTAACTCCCATTTCTGTTTTTCACTTAGGTGTTTTTTTTTCTTTTCCAAATAGCATTGCTCTTTTTGCATTGTTAGTCAAGAGCAATCCGGTGACTTGTCAATATTAGAAGGTCCGGAATAGATATTAGCAACTATTAATTAGAGTTAAAGTACAGGTAGTTCCTTAAAATGATTTCTCAAATCTATTTTTAATATATGTATCGATAGAATCCCAACTATACTTGTCATGTGGATATGTAAATGTCACAGGAGGAAGGGCAGAAATGCATTTTATAGAAATTCTAATGTTTTAAACCAAATAGCCAATTACCTAGATAGCACTGACAAAAGGAATGCAATATATACCTAATTCTGAGACACATTACCCACTTTAATTGGCTTATTGTAGTTTAAAAAAAATGTATCCACATTGATGCTAAGTTTAAAACAAAACCAGGACTGACATTTTTGTCTACACATTAGAACGTAAGGAGGGGCCCGGCATTGGTGGTGCACGCCTTTAAACCCAGCACTCGGGAGGCAGAGACAGGCGGATCTCTGTGAGTTCGAGGCCAGCCTGGTCTACAGAATGAGTTCCAGGACAGCCTCCAAAACAATACAGAGAAACCCTGTATTGGGGGAAAAAAAGAAGAAGAAAGTAAGGAGGCATTTTGGTTGGGTTGGGGAGATAGTTGTGTTAGTTATAAGTTTTCAGATAGTGTCCCAAGTAGCCCAGGCTGGCTGTAAATTTGATTGGCAATTGAGAATGACCTTGAACTTCAGATTCTCCTGCTCTAAGTTCTAGTCCTAGGTGGGTACAACTATCCCTAGTTTATGCAGGATGGGTGATTAAAACCAGATCTTAGTACATGCCAGGTAAGCATCCTACCAAATGAACTACTGTAGGCCTTCTTTAGACATTTTGAAACAAATGTTGCATTTGTAGCTTTAATCAGTGGTTTGTATCAGCACTATAGTAAGAGGTGAGAAGTTAGGGTGAGTCAGGTTCTTTAATTAGCCATACCAGAAGAGTAAGTATGTAACAAAGTATCTGAACTGTATAGTTAAATATGTTAGTGTAATATCTTATGTCAAGTAATCCCAACTGAGGTCTGCAGAAGTTATCTTCTGTCCTAATATTCACACTAGCTATTTTCAAGTTGATGTTTATTTTCTATGTCCCAAATGAGAATATATTGCCCTCAATTCATTGGTCAGTTAGGCTAGGTTAACTGGTTAGCTATGGCCAATGAGTGTTGGGGAAGTCCTGTGTATATGTCAATAAAGCACTGTTGGCCAATAGGGAACCAAGATAGGTGGGACTAGGAGTCCAGGAGGGCTCTGGGAAGGAGAAACACAGGAAGTCAAGATGTAACGCCATGGGGTAGGAAGCCCAGAAAGTTCTCCGGTAAGGGAAATACTTAGATTAACAATTATGGGGTAATTACTTAAGTCAGAGCTAGCCAGTAAGAAACAAGCAAGGCCAACAGCTTCATAATTAATATAGCCTCCTGTGTGTTTATTTGGGACTGATGCGGCTCTGGAACCAGGCTGGTGGGAAGGCTTCCCTTTACAAATGAGAGATGCTGTTTCAGGGATAATGACATCATTTATGAGGATGACACCTGAGTTCTTCTTCTGGATTCCCCACGCATGCGTACACATGTGTAGGTACATTTGCACACACACAAAATTCAAAGAACTATTAGATAATAGCAAGAACCAAATGATTAGCACATGGTCCAAATAGTATCACTATTACCAATAATGAGACAAGTGAAAATATAGTATGATCCCCTAAGCTAATTCAATAGGGAAGTACTCATTTTGCACCGTGCTAATGATGGTATTTTCTGGCCTCAGTAAGTCACATATGTGTCAACAACAGGGAAAAACATTGAAAGTGTAAATAAGTTACTTATTTGTACAAAGGCTCTCATCAAAAGAAAGGGGATGTTTGCTGACTATGGCAGCCTACACAGCTTCCCAACTGTACGGTTTGCCATTCAGTCTTGTATCATATCTAGAAAGAGAGAGATATTCCAATTGTAAAAAATAATAATTGTAGTATGTAATTCAACTCAAACATTTCATTTTAACATGTAATCGATATAAAAATCAATGAGCATTTTTGGGGGAGCCAGCACTTCAAAACAGGATTCAGTTGAGTTCTCAGTAAGCCTGTGGTGTGTTATTACACTGGACAGCAAACTCCATAAATTAAGAGTAATCAGTTGGATAAAGGACGATTGATTTCTATTTCTAATCGATTTTACCATACCCAAAGGTTTTTAATGGGTGGAGAGCTTTCCTTTGTGTGTTTGGAGGAATTTACATTTCTTATTTTGATTGGACTTTTTAAGAGACGAATTAGTCTAAAAGTGACAAGTTCAATTCCCCCTCCAAATCTTCTAATTAATGCAGACAAACGAATGGAAAGCCCCCGCCCTTTGACTTACCAAAGGAAACAAGAAAAGTCAGTGGCTTTGCAACAGTTAGAGTTCTCCGCCTGTGCTGGCTGACTTGTAACCATGCACATGTTCTGCGAAACTTATTTTTTCACTTTTTAGCAGTTTTAACCGATTCCCCTTGCTGGTGCGGTTTCTTCACACGCCATCACACTTCTAAATGAGTGATCACGTGGCAGTGAGGATTCCATGTGCCAAAGGCACTGTACCAGCGCTCCCCAAATACATCTACTTGAAATACAAAGTAGTTTTGTTCACACTTCCAATTTTGGATCCACTAAAGGCATTCGGAGCTGGGGGGAAAAATGCCTGCTGTTCAACTTTTTCTTTTCCACAAATTCTCTCGACTGAGAGCTTGCATGTTTCTTGCTAAGTTTCCAAAGCACAAGTAACTATGGCACACTCTGTAACTAGGAGCCTTGAGCAACTGCTTTAAGATAAATGATGAATACGGTCATGTTCCTGCCTGGAGAGCACTGTGCCAACAACAGGGACACAAAAGGGGCCAACAACAGGGACAGAATTGAATTTGGAGGTGGGAAATGCAGCAACTCAGCACGTTCTTTGAAAATCCGTGGCATCTGTCCTGGGTGGGTTCTCAATCTCAGCTCGATAAACCCACTGAGCTGGCTAATACCTGCTGTGAGGCCGTTCCCCACTTCGGAGGACATTTAGGAGCATCTGTCTCCAAGTTCTAATCATTACCAAGCGCCTTCTCACGTCTCCAGTCCTGGCAACTCAAAAATGCCTCCAAATCACCAAATGCCCCCTCTGGGGAACAAGGCTCTTCTCAATGGAGAGCCAAAACTTTATATTCAAAGCCCAAAAATTACACATTCAAAATATAGCACTAGTTGGGTGGTGGTGGTGTACGCCTTTAATCCCAGCACTCGGGAGGCAGAGAAAGGGGGATCTCTGTGAGTTCGAGGCCAGCCTGGTCTACAAGACTTAGTTCCAGGATAGCCTCCAAAGCCACAGAGAAACCGTTTCAAAAAACCTGTTAACTAATTTGGTAACTTCATACACAGAATGTACTTCTAAGAGCTTAGAGCCTGGTGCTGGAGAGGTGGCTCAGTGGTTATGAGAACTGACTACTCTTCCAAAGGACTTGGGTTCAATTCCCAGGAGCCACATGGCAGCTCACAACTGCCTGTAATTCCAATTCCAGGGGACCCAAAACCCCATGGCAAAACACCAATGCATATAAACTAAAAATAAATAAATTGCCTTTGGGACATGCAATGGAGTCACAGCATATTCATTCTCTTCTGTCCCACCTTCTCAGTCTCTGAGGTCCCCTTTTACCTTGTCTTCGAAATTAATGGTAAATACCTCATTTTATCTGGAATTGGTTTATATACAGCAATTTCAACATTCACATCAAATCAGTTGTCACATACGCAGAGACTGAGAATATGTAGCAACTTGAACCCTCTTGGGTGTGTTTCAAGTGTGTTGACTGAAACTGATCTACAGTGACCATCATTCCCTAAATAGAGACAATGACTGTGTCACCACCATCAACTTGGGAGCACGCTAAGAAAATCTGATAATCCATGTCTTAAATGATACCACAAACCTCTCTACCTCCATAGAATATGGTGAATGAACAACATCTCAAAACAAAATCTGTATATCCTTCTTCATTCCCTCAAAATAAGCCCAAACAAAGCATTTTAGTATATCTATTTCCCGTCATGTGAAAAATTGAGATAGTTAAAAAATAATAGTATATTGGACTCCCATCCAACAATGTGAGATGCACTCTCACCCTGAACTCTTGGGAGGAGGGTCTAGGCCCTGCCCTGGATAAAATGACAGACTATGGATATCCCCAGGGAGGGCCTTACCCTCCCTGGGGAAATGAGGGGATAATGGGGGGTTGGGGGTAGGGCACGGGAGGAAGGGAGGGAAAGGGAACTCACTTGTGAAGCAACCTTGTTTCTAATTTAAATTTAAAAATAAATAATAAAAAATAGTATTTTAAAAAGTAAGAGTATATGCATTCATTCTGCCAATGTTTGGAATGACAGAATAAGTCCATAAATGCAGTCAAGGACAAGGAAAATGGCAATATAGCGGAGGTTAGGATTTTTTTTTTTACCTGGAAGAGGTATACATACGAAGGTGCCAACTTCAATATAAAATCAATTATTTCATCCCACAGAGGCAGAGAAGACATTCCATGCTGTTTAAATGCCCTTAGGTATATTTCAAGGGTGTACAATCTAGACAAGTTTCCTCAACCCTGGTTGTTTGCTGTGACAAAAGCCATAAGGAGTCCTTAGTCTATTGAAGCTGTCACTTATTGATGAATACTATGCTAAGTTAAACAAGTGTCCACCCATCTACCATGTAACGGTTTCTTGAGGTGAGTGCTGCAATCGACTTCTGACAAGGAATAAAGAAAAGGCGCCAAGTGTTGAAATTGCTTGTAGAAAATGGTGACTCCGGCAATCATAAAGCTAAACTTACACATCGTTAATTCCAAAGTTCAAGTTCGTCCTGGAAGTTTTCCTCACTCCCAGGAGACTGAGTGAGAGCCGGCCTGCCTCCACAGGCCTTTGAATTCAAGGAGGAGGCTAATGGGATTTTTTGGCAAATCAGCAGAGTTTTGCCAGGAGAAAGAGGGAAAGAAAGAAGGGAGGAGGAGGAGGAGGAGGAGGAGGAGGCATTGGATAGATGCTCAAGTTGTGAGAAGAAAGAGGAGAGAGGTGAAGAGAGAGTGGAGACAGAAACAGAGACTAGGAAGCCAGACTTTTAATAGTGGAGATGCTTTCCAGTCTATGCTGGTAACAAACTGTAAACGTTCTATGTCCTTGGTTCTCCTACCTCACTGCACCGTGTGTTTTAAGCCTTCAGAGGCAAAGTTTGAATATTAGGGATCTCGTTATAAGCTACCCATATTATATAGTATTTAAAGAAAAATAATATTTTCTAATTTTCATAGGAAAACTGACTGCGGTGAGCTGAACGGGGAATTTAGATAATTTTATACTATCATTGCTTTCATTATCCTTACGTGCTTTCTCTAAAACGCAAGCCCAAAATATAATGTAATTTGACTGATTTTGTCTGTATGTAAGCACACTGGGAGAACAGAAAATAAGGTATGGTTTTGAGGAGAGTGTCACTCTGTAATTCCACAACAAGAAAGGTGAAAGCCAAAAAAAAAAAAAAACAAACCAAAACAAAAAAACCCCTCATTTTCATAGTATGAATTAAAAGTAGCAAACTAATATCCTTCTGTTTCAGGCCATTTCTGCCAGAGATGAATGTCTTAGAAGACTACAAGATGAATGAGATTCAGACTGAGGCACAGCAGCCCTGAATGGTAAATATTTTCTTTTTGAATATATAGTCCAAGAAAAGATCGATAGTGAAAAAGTCTGTGCTGGTAACACAATCTCAGGAACTTATAATTTGAAATTTCTCTTAACTTTGGCTAATGGTATTTTATCAATAATAATACACATATGTATTTGATTTATACTAAATATTAAGTAAAAATGGACTAACAGGTATCCACAGGTCAGGCACTTACTCGCCTACAAAGGAGAGACACTGACAATGGAACAGAAATGTCACTAGACAGTGGGAATTCAGACTTGCTTCCCTGATGTATTTAGTTATATGAAGCAACTGATCTATGGAATTGAAAATATTTATTGGTTCTGGCGTGGATAACTATAAAATCTGATTGAATGGATTCTACTTATACACAGTGTCACGGTAAGTGTATCTGTGCATTGGATTTCAACAGGGCATTGTGGTTTTGATTTATCATCATGTCAGTTTTTACACAAGCACTCTATATTTTAATGTCTGGCGTATAAGCTGAGAAATGTAGGTCTATGTATCTCAGTATAGGATGCCACTTTTGATTGACTCTTCCTTCTCTATAGTTTTCTTCTGTTTGTTCAAGGAAAATGCTAGGCAACCTGTTGGTTTTATTTAAAACATAGAAGAATCCATTAGTTGACGTCAGAGTTTCTATGTGGATATTTGTTAGGTTAAACATATCTCTGTTGTTTTATTAGAATTGTGTTTATGCAAGTCGAGTTGGTTGGCCTTTAATTCCACCAATGCATTTACAGGCGAATTGAGTTCATTGATATTAATGGATATTAATGACCCACTATGCATTTAAACAGTGAGATCCATTTATGGGTATACAATAAGGTACTTTAACCCTCAGTAACTAATGGGCACTTATCATCACTGCGACGGTTTCAGTTTAAAGGTACTGAACGCATAAGTAAGGCGAAGGAAAGATCAGTAATAGTGATCAAACTGTGATCAGAACACAAATACACCTGTTTTATGATGTAGAGACTAGCTTTCTCTTTTATTCTGTTACAAGATATCACCAACATGTGTATACATGACAGCACCAAAACTGCACGTCAAACAGGCTAAGTTCTGCCTTCGGGAAAAGTTATGAAAATGAGACATGACTATTTTTTAAAATCCCAGAAAAACTACATCATTAAATAGTATTAACTTAGATACTTTAGAATGTTTATGCATGCCAGTACACCTCTTATGATGATGCTTTTTGCATAATGTTTACTATCACATAAGGTTCTTATAAAATGACTTTTTGACCCTGTGAATACTACTGAGTGATGTATGAAGGATGTTCTACTGCTATCTCTGTCATCATCATTTAAGTGTGTGCTTAAGTATAGGTTCGAAGTAAAGAACGTTTGTTTCAACTCTCCCAGAATATGTCTTCACCAAACCATCCTTATTCCTTCCATGTTTAATGTATAATTTGAAAGGAGAGGGAGGAAGAGAGAGAAGAAAAATGGGAAGGATAAGTGGGGGGAGGAAGGGGGAACCTTAGGAAGAATTTCTCCTCTTTGGATACTAGGGCTACAACCTGCATATTCTTTATAAAAGATTAAAATGATATCTCCCAGACTATTGTCTAGTTGAACTTATTTGCACTTCCCAATTTTATAGTACAACAGGAAGGCATGACAATCTCACTTCAGTGTATGATAGTGGTTTTCTTTCTCCAGAGTAATTCCTTTGGCAGAGTGGGCTAAATCTGCACGGAGATAACTACACTTCGGGGTCAGCCGTATTAAATCTCAGACTGCTACTTTGGCAGCAGTTTTTCCTCGTTACTGGGGCAGTGCAGTCTGAAAAGAGAGGACGGCTACGGGAGAGCGTCTTTCATACGCTCCGTAGTCAGATTCATAATTCATGCATGCCATTGGAAGTAGAGGGGATGCATACCCACGGGCATTCGCTCAGATGTGCGCCCTGAGCGGTGTACGCAGCATCACCTCAAAGGGTGGTTTTTCCGTGGCGGGGGAAGGATGCTCACTGAAGATAAGATAGCAGAAGGCTTTCCTTGCCGAATCCTTACTGGGATGCTCCAGAGGGTTCCAAGACCCACTGGAGTTTAATTTTCCACTCCGTGAATTAGGCCCGCAGCACTTCCCCCTCAAACAATTTGAGTGAGGACAGCACTTGAGAAGTTTCAAACTAGCTTTGCTCTATATTTCATGAAAATGTGGAAATATGAACTAACACTGACACCTGCTCAATTTTGGGAGGGTCCATTGCACTTAACTCAGAAAACCTAAGGAGGATTTATGATTCTTGTAAGAATGTGTAGCTTATTTAGGGCTTTGACTTAGTCAATGTGGTTTATAAATATTCACTTACAAAAAAAATGAGGAGTGTACATTCCTCCTCTACAAAAATTCAGAAGGATTACTGCTATAGCTCTTTTTGAGAACATTTATAAAAACTGAGAAACATAGGTGTCAAAATGCAGCATGCACTTTAAGAATAAGAATTAAAATCTTCATTATTTTATTCACTAAATCGTTTTGCCCTCATCTGTATCATTTTGATAATGAATAAGAAATCAGTAATAAAACAATAAAGTGAGTTTTTAAGTGACGGCTTCCTCCATCCCAGTCCTACGTTATCTTAGACTCCTATTTGTCTTCTTAGGAAAACTATTTCTGGCAACATTAATAAGTGCTCAGGAGATAGACTAACATCATTGGAAAGGCTGTAACAAGTGCAAATACTTTTGTCTATTGTGCATTTAATAAACTATGGCTTAGCAACTTGGAATCTGGGGCCCCAGCATTAAGACTATCTGTGTAACTCTGACTCGGCAACACAACATCAAAGACCTTTGCTTTTGTTTTCTGCTGCGTTTGATATACAAACAGAGATCAGCAGGGATTGAACTGAAGGAGACCAGGAGGCAGTAGAATGTTCTAGTTGAGAATCATAGCTCCACTGATGTTTAGGTTGCATGATGATTAAAAGTGACTTAGCCATTTTGTTATTAAATTGAACAGTGCCCATAGTGTGTGAGAGGGAATGGATTTCTTATGAAAATGGGAACGTGTGAGCCTGTCATTTAAGGGATAGCTTTTTTTGTTTGTTTTTGTTTTTCAAGACAGGGTTTCCCTGTATTGTTTTGGAGGCTGTCCTGGAACTAGCTCTTGTATACCAGGCTGGCCTGGAACTCATAGAGATCTGCCTGCCTCTACCTCCCTAGTGCTGAGATTAAAGGCATGGGTCGGCAGGATAACTTTTAGGAGTGGTCAATTGTTAAGAATATTTAAGTCATATATATGTATATATATATGCTGTGGAAAAAAGCTTTCATATTTTCTGCATGATTTTAGTAACTCAAATTCCATTACTTCGAAAACAATTACAAAGAAATACATATATGTTCCAGCAAAGCTTTGACTTAATCTGCATTTAAAAAATAACAACCAGGGCTGAGAAGATTGCTCAACGGGAAAAGGCTCTGGCTGCTAAGCCTGATGACCTGAGTTCTATCTCTGGACCCACAATATTAGGAGAGAGCAGATGCCCACAGGTTCTGTGAGTACCACACAAGAACCATAGCACACATGAAATCTTGAGTGTGTGCGTCTCTCTCCCTCCCTCCCTCTCTCCCCCTCTCTCTCTCCCTGTCTCCCTCCCTCCCTCTCCCTCTCTCCCTGTCTCCCTCCCTCCCTCTCCCTCTCTCCCTCCCTCTCTCTCTCTCTCTCTCTCTCATACATACATACATACATACATACATACATACATACATACACATACACACACACACACACACCAAATATTTTTAAAACCACATTAAAATTATGGGCATAAAAGTTTTTCATACCAATTGTTAAGGCTAGCAGATGTTAAGACTATCTTGAAATAGGTACCCACTGTGTGTCAGGTATCTTGTTAGAATTTCAAATGGGTATCATTTCTTGAATTCTTTTAGGAACCCTGTAAATGAAACCATAGTCCAATCTCACTTATCTTTCTACGTGAGGATACTGTCTTAGATGACTTCCAAACTGTGGCCTGAGACGGGCCTCAGAAGCAGGAGTATGATAAACATTGTGTAACAACTCAAAACACTTTTCTATATTTAGATATAGATATATTTATGTCTATAAAAAGAAAATTTAAGACCCCTTAAATCTTAAAAAATAGAAAAAGGGCAGCATTGTGGTGCATGCCTTCAATCCCAGCAACTGGGAAGCAGAGGGAGGTGGAGCTCTGTAAGTTCAAGGCTAGCCTGGTATTCAAAGTGAGTTCGAGGACAGGAAGGCCCCCTGTATTGAAAAACCAAAAAAAAAAAAAAAAGAAAAGAAAAAATAATAATTTTGCTTTTCAAGATCTGACTCCAAATACACTAACACTCAGAACATAAGACAAGAGATATCTGTGTCATATTCTTGTAGCGCGATTGGTGGATGTGTCTTGGGATGTCACTTACTTCTTTATCCTGAAGGTGTACCTATATTTTCTGTACCTGACTTAGGCACGGAAAAATATAAAGCATCTCCAAAGGAATTTTAAGATTGTTGGGAAAGTTATTTCTCAGGCATTGGCTGTGCACCTTGGCTAAAGACTAGAATTACTTGGGGCCCTACTATGTGATTCTAACCAACTCTCACATACAACTCTTAGTTGTTTCCCACACTAGGAGCACGGTTCTGCAATTGTTTGTTCATGTGACTCAAACAGTATAAGGTATGAGGTACCAGGGGGATTGTGAAGAATGAAGCACCGAGAAATTTCAGTGACTATGTTACCAGAGATGCCATCGATGAGTCAGTGATTGCCATCACTTCAGAATGGGTTTCTGAGTGTCTGGGAACACAAGCCTTACTCCACAGTTACTTGAGGTCATTGGTCAACAGCCTTTCCTCCTTGTGGAGGTTTAACTTTGGTCTCCCCAATGCCAACTAGCACTGGAACCTATAAACATTTAAATGAAGTTATGTCTACAAGAGTCCCTAACATGTTCTAGATGTCTATATTCATGTTAACTCTTTT